CTGCAGGCCTCTTGTCCGACTGTCGATTACTGCACCATGCCAGCTCGCTGACAGACAGGCCAGCCGGTATGGCTGGCTATTGATATAAACCTCAGAGATTGAAAATCGTTAAGTAACTTGGAGCAAATATGCAAAAAGTTCAGAGACAAAACAACATTTTTCACGTCTCTGGTTAGTGGCGACACATTCATGCATGGATTACTTTGTGGACATTTGAGATATAACAAACTCAGCTGCTTCCTGTCTTCGGCAATGGACAAAAACAAGTCTGCTTCAGTAGTTAAAACTTTTTTTTCATAACAATAGTGTGAAAAGATATTATCGATGACACAATTTTCATATTGATGATAGGGGCGGTTGGGTAGCCTAGTGGTTAAAGCGTTCACTTGCCTCTCCGAAGACCCGTGTTACTCCGAAGACCCGTGTTAGATTCCCGACATGGGTACAATCTGTGAAGCCCATTTCTGGTGTCGTCCGTCGTGATATTGCTGGAATATTGCTAAAAGCGGCGTAAAACCATACTCCCTCACTCATATTGATAATTGTTAATATTTCTTCACATCGACCATAATTCTGATTATCAATCTTTTTGCCAGCCCTACTGGCTGGAGCTGCAGCAGTATTCACAGGAGGTGTGCACATTCACACATCATCAGGATGAGGGAGTGCTTCAGTACCGTATATAACCATAGTTGATTCGATCTCATAGATAAACCGAGGTAGTAACGTAATCACCGGTAGATTGGGAGAACATGTGTGTATATATACAGCTGATTGCTATTTCTGGCTTAGTTTACGAGACAATACACTCAGTAATCTTTATCCCTGCATATAAAACAATGCCTAGCATAACAAGAAATACAATCTGAATGGTAAATCATCATGACTAGTGATGTTTAATCGCAAATTCCACATTTTCATTGACAAAGTTTGTTATGGTGTTGTTCCTTCACCTGAAACGATACAATGTTTTTTTACAAAGAGAAAAAGAATTTGATGAAAGATTAACCCATACATAAGCCGACCCTTTTCTACAGAATATTTTACTGGTCCTCAATATTTGGTTTATCTGCAGTCATAAATGGTAGCATTCGTCACCGCTCGCTCCTTTCTATAACCTGCAAGAAGACTCGTCCCCCTATCGATGAATGTTTTGTGTGAAAATATGACAAACCAAACAGAATGGGGGTATGATTTCAAGTTTTTTGTCAAAGAATCCCTCAGAAATAATTTTTGGTTTTACATATGACTTGCATCTAAAAATGTACCCAAGACACAGTGAAATGTGTTCAATCATACTGTATAATTAAAAAATATATGTGAACCATTACGCAACGAGTTGACAATTGTTTTAGGTATGCCCGTTTGCGCTAAGACAGAACCTGGTCGCAAAAATGGCCATGAGAAGGGCACAAGTTGTTATTCGGCTTGTCCCAGAATAACACGAGTTGGTCACAAACTGATATGGTAGGTGGTCTGCACAGGGCTACACGCTGTGATGATACAGAGGCTATTGATGCTGGTGTTGATGTGAAGTTCCTTCTGTGTGATGGGCTTGGAGGGTCCGAGCAGTCTATCAAAAACGGCAAAACAAACACATAAAATACACAGCAGCTCCTGATGTCTGCTGGACGGGAGGCCCTGCTTCTCTGGGTTAATCCTTCATCTGTGCCTCATCCTTGTCAGACGAGATTACCATGTGTAGCAATGTTGTTATATAGTAACTTAATAACCATTTCGTCTCTGAAATGACACCATTTATCGACTGTTAATTATCTTTGTATATATAAGTTCTTCTCCACACTGCAGACAGTGGAGCAAGGTTGATTGTGTACAGTTGGGTATGGTCAGCTGGCTCACCTGGGGTAAATTCAAGATTCAGTGTTCAAGATTCTTCATTACAGTATTGGAGGACTCGTGGCCCAGAGTCAGGCCTCAAAGTTGCCACTAAAACGGTCGCCAGTGCGACCTAACTTTCAATTTGTCTACTGTCTAAAATTCAGAGGTAGCCAAATGACTATCTTGAAAAATATCTTGTGGTGACTAAATTCTATTGCTTCACATATGTAGACACAAAAATAAACATGTCTGCTACTAATTGTACTCACAAATAATTCCTCCTAAAGTCAACAATGAACTGAAATACATAAATATTAATTTAATTAGTATTTTATTTTAGTTGATAGTTTATTGGATAAGCAAGGATATACCTATAATCTAGTAATATATACATGTATTGCATCATTGTTCGAGTCATAAATAATAAAACTCAAGTACAGTTTCCACTCATATACAATTCCAAGACTAGTGCTATGACCTGTGCATTCAATAGTTATTTGATAAAAGATCATTTCAAATGCTTTGGGCTACTTACAATATTGGCTTGACCATTTTATTTTACCACTGGCTACCTGGAAAAAAACATTTGTAGCCATATGGTTACTTGGTAAAAATTTAAACTTTGAGGCCTGAGAGTACAATACAAGTTTGGTTTATCAGAGAACATGCAGTAGGTTAAGGCAAGAAACAGGTAGAATCCAGTCTGTGAGAAAAGCTTTTGAGTCTGGAAGGCCAACACTTACAAATTTGTTCAGATCAGTTTTTGCACATGGACATTTAATAGTTGAGCTAATACCAAACAGAATATTCCTAGATTCCGCTCCGGACTAGTGGCGTGCGGTAGAAACGAACAGTTTTCGTCCACAAGGTAAAAGGGCAATTTTCTACTCGTCCTTAGGATACCTTAACTATTGGGCAGTTTGGCAAGGACTATAGGACTAGAAGGGCAGTCGGGTAGCCTTGTGGTTAAAGCATTCGCTCGTCACGCCGAAGACCCGGGTTCGATTCCCGACATGGGTACAATGTGTGAAGCCCATTTCATGTGTCCCCTGCCGTGATATTGCTGGAATAATGCTAACAGCGGCGTAAAACCATACTCACTCACTCACTATAGGACTAGCACCAATTTCTATCACTGGCTTTAGGCTCATGTTATATATAGAATTTTGTTTAGATCAGTCTTTGTACATGGACGTTTAATAGTTGAGCTAATACCAAACCTGAATATTCGTAGATTCCGCTCCGGACCAACGTCTAAATTCACGATTGAGCTTTAGGCTTATGTTATATTTTGTCCGGAATGTGTCCTAGCTGTCCAATGTCCCATCAGGAGGAACACGTGCACATCAGTTGTGAACATGCACTGTAGCTGGCTATCTGGAGTTGGTATGGAATGTGATTTATGGGCTGTCAAGTACTCAAGTGGGTTGATGTAGAGATGCTTTTATATCTGTAAGTGTTTGTTTGAAACTGTCTCTTGTTTCATGGCAGCACAGCTCCTTTACACCATGATTGTGTGTGTTGGAGATAGGGTGTGTCTCTGTGACCTGGTCTGGTGTTGGAGGTCTCTATGTCAGGGAGGAAAATTAACCAAGAACGTCCACTATCCTGAATAGTGATAACACATAGCAATTCCCCCTCCCCATAAAATAATTGAAACAGCTCTTAGGATATCTTTAACATTAACAAGACTGGTCCGGTCTAGTGCTGATATCCATCCCGGTGTCTGTGTTTCTTAATGACCCGTTCCTTTCTTTGAGACAGCCCCATGGGGGTTCTGCCAGACATGAGGGCGACTAAATGATCGCTCAGTCACTTGGTTGATCGCGTGTCATTGTACCCCGATGGTGTGAATCGTTGTTCATGATATCGGTACTGGTTTGAATGGGGCGGGCGGGTAGCCTAGTGGTTAAAGTGTTCGCTCATGATGCGAAGACCCGGGTTTGATTCCCGACATGAGTACAATGTGTGAAGCCCATTTCTGGTGTCCCCTGCTGTGATATTGCTGGAATATTGTTAAAAGCGGTGTAAAACCGTACTCACTCTCTCACTGGATTGAATGAACCAGACTCAATTGTTTACAGGCTGATGAGTGCAGTGTTAAGCAGTGTTAAGTGTTTCACTGTGATCTGTTCATGAGAGTCGTGTTTGTGTTTCAGCGAGACTGTATCATGTGTTTGAGATTTACGTTTGTGTTTCAGTGAGACTGTATCATGTGTTTGAGATTTACGTTTGTGTTTCAGTGAGACTGTATCATGTGTTTGAGATTTACACTTGTGTTTCAGTGAGACTGTATCATGTGTTTGAGATTTAAGCTTGTGTTTCAGTGAGACTGTATCATGTGTTTGAGATTTACGCTTGTGTTTCAGTGAGACCATACCATGTGTTTGAGATTTATGTTTTAGTTTCACTGTGATCTGTTCATGAGATTTGTGTTTGTGTTTCAGCAAGACGGTATCTTGTGTTTGAGATTCGTGTTTGTGTTTCAGTGAGACCATACCATGTGTTTGAGATTTACGTTTGTGTTTCAGCGAGACTGCATCATTTGTTTGAGATTTACGCTTGTGTTTCAGCGAGACTGCATCATGTGTTTGAGATTTACGCTTGTGTTTCAGTGAGACTGTATCATGTGTTTGAGATTTACGCTTGTGTTTCAGCGAGACTGTATCATGTGTTTGAGATTTACGTTTGTGTTTCAGCGAGACTGCATCATGTGTTTGAGATTTACGTTTGTGTTTCAGCAAGACTGTATCATGTGTTTGAGATTTACGCTTGTGTTTCAGCGAGACTGCATCATGTGTTTGAGATTTACGTTTGTGTTTCAGTGAGACTGCATCATGTGTTTGAGATTTACGCTTGTGTTTCAGTGAGACTGTATCATGTGTTTGAGATTTACGCTTGTGTTTCAGCGAGACTGTATCATGTGTTTGAGATTTACGCTTGTGTTTCAGCGAGACTGTATCATGTGTTTGAGATTTACACTTGTGTTTCAGCGAGACTGTATCATGTGTTTGAGATTTACGCTTGTGTTTCAGCGAGACTGTATCATGTGTTTGAGATTTACGCTTGTGTTTCAGCGAGACTGCATCATGTGTTTGAGATTTACGCTTGTGTTTCAGTGAGACTGCATCATGTGTTTGAGATTTACACTTGTGTTTCAGCGAGACCTGTTCTGGTTCAGCCTCTTCTGCCTGACATTCCTCTACATCATCTTCTACTTCTACTTCTGGCTCATCGTCAAGAACAGCTTTGATGACCTCAACTGGTGAGTGACCACAGCCATACCTCCACACTAATTGCACAATATATAGTCATGGGCCTTCATGTTGAAATGGAGCTGGGTTGAGTTTGTTTTTCCACAAGTAAAAAAAGGGTATTTATCCATCTACTACCTACGATGAATAGACTGCATCTGTGGATAGACCCGTGAATATCCGGGTAGAGAATAGGTCTTCAGCAACCCATGCTTGCTATAAAAGGCGACTATGCTTGTCATAAGAGGCAACTAACAGGATTTGGGGGTTTGGCTCGCTGATGTGGCTGATGCATATCATCGTATCCCAATTGCCTGGATCGATGCTCATGATGTCAATCAATTGATTGTCTGGTCCTGACTCGATTATTTTCAGACAGACATCATACAGCTGGATTATTATGTGGCATAAAACAACAAACAAACAAACAAACATAGACTTATAGAAAACACAGAGCACTGGGGAGCCGAGGAGTCACATTGGAGGTTCTGTTTAGGGTGACAATATGCCTTGACAGTTCTGTGTGAAACCTCCATAGTCCGGATCCGACAATATGCCTTGACAGTTTTGTGTGAAACCTCCATAGTCCGGATCCGATCAACTTTTCAGCATTTATATATATTTAATTAAATATATCTATGTACCAATAACATGTTGAATTGGAAATTGTTTATCCAGATGATTTCCATGGGAAGGTTACTGTCTGGAGTAACACTGTCTATGGTTTCACTGTATGATTTCACTGTTTATGGTTTCATGGTCTTTGGTCTTTATATAATTTCACTGTCTCTGGTTTTACTATGATTTCACTGTCTCTGGTTTCATTGTATATGATTTCACTGTCTATGGTTTCACTATGATTTCACCGCTCTGGTTTCACTGACTATGATTTCACTGTCTCTGGTTTCACTGTCTATGGTTTCACTATGATGTCACTGTCTATGGTTTCACTGTTTATGGTTTCACCGTATGATTTCCCAGTCTTTGATTTCAATGTCTATGATTTCACTGTATAATTTCACTGTCTATGGTTTTATTGTCTATGATTTCACTGTCTCTGGTTACACTATGATTTAACTGTCTCTGGTTTCACTGTCTATGATTTCACTGTCTATGGTTTCACTATTATTTCACTGTCTCTGGTTTCACTGTATGGTTTCACTGTCTATGATTTCACTGTCTATGGTTTCACTGTCTATGGTTTCAATGTCTATGATTTCACTGTCTCTGGTTACACTATGATTTAACTGTCTCTTGTTTCACTGTCTATGATTTCACTGTCTATGGTTTCACTATTATTTCACTGTCTCTGGTTTCACTGTATGGTTTCACTGTCTATGGTTTCAATGTCTATGATTTCACTGTCTATGGTTTCACTGTCTATGGTTTCACTATGATTTCACTGTCTATGGTTTCAGTGTCTATGGTTTCACTGTATGATTTCACATATGGTTTGTGGTTTCAGGCACATGTTTGGGCTGCTGAGGACATGGGTTCCCTGGTACAGAATCATCCTGGGGCTGACCTGCGCCGTGTTTGCCTACTTCATTATAGTCATGGTGGGTAGCTGTACAGGATACCAGCCCACCACCACCGCCCTCACCATGCTGACACTGGGTTGTCATGGCCTGGGGGTGTGACATGTGGGTGCCAGGGTCGTGTAGTGGCTAGAGTGTTTGCCTACTTCATTATAGTCATGGTGGGTAGCTGTACAGGATACCAGCCCGCCACCACCGCCCTTACCATGCTGACACTGGGTTGTCATGGCCTGGGTCGTGTAGTGGCTAGAGTGTTGGCCTCGGGGATAAAGCATTTGGTCGTCACGACTAAGGCCTGGGTTCGATTCTCCACATGGGTACAATGTATATTGCTAGAATATTGCTAAAAGTGGCGTAAAACCATACTCACTCACTCACTCCCCACACGTGACCTGTAAATGTTGCCTGCCCATCTTCAAAGTTATCTGCCACATTCAGATTTATAAATATTAGAAAATCACGAAAAAATAAGAGTCATATCGCATCTTGATTCAGTTGAAATAATGCAAACAACTAATTGAGAAGCTGTGAGCAGTTATAAAAAAAGTGAATATGTAAGTAGTCTTAAAATTATCTGCCAGACAGTCACGGCCAGGGGGGCTGGCAGTTACTTTGGACCGTGCCGTTTCCCTGACCCTGGTCCTACCTTCAGCAAGATGACAATGTCCTGTGTTTTGAACTAGTTGTTCTACTAACATCCTGTACAGTGTCAGGTGGTACTGTGGTCCTTGATATCTGCTCCCATAGTTTTTGCTTCAAGGGAACTCTTTATATCTTTAACTTTTTTAATTTTGATTAAGCCAAGGACCCCTTGATTTCCATTCATACTTCGACTACTGCTGTATGATAGAACCTGCATCCCATTACTCACACATCCAGGTAGACCCGTGAAGATCGGGGGTACAATAGGTCTTCAGCAACCCATGCTTGCTGAAAAGGCAACTATGCTTGTCGTAAGAGGGGACTAATGGGATCAGGTGGTCAGACTTGCTGACTTGGTTGATGCATGTCATCGTATCCCAATTGCGTGGATCGATGCTCATGATGTCAATCACTGGATTGTCTGGTCCAGACTCGATTATTTTCAGACCGCCGTCATATTGCTGGAATATTGCTGAGTGCAGCGTTAAACAAAAAACAAACAAAACACATCCTAGGATTTCAGGTACGATGTGTTCAAAGCAGCGTAGCCCCAAGCCACTGACCCATTGCTCCCCCTCTAACTATGGTAGAAATGTCCTATGTTTTGTGCTATTTTCTTGTCTGACTGCTGTGTAACATCCTCTGTGTTGTGCTGTACTTGCAGTGCCTGGTGTTGTGCCACGTCCTGCACGGCCACCAACTCTACATCCACCCGGTCCACATCGCTGTCATCCTTTTCAGCCTGCTGGGCTGCGTTGCCATCACGGTTGCCGTGGAGTTGATGTGGCGCTCTGAATGGACACTAGTATTACTCTCTCTCAGGGTGAGTTCACCTCATCAGCTCAATATTTCATGATGTGCAAGGCCGTATTGTGATACGTATCACGATACAGTGGATGATTCTACATTTTGAATTCAGAAGCAATTTGAAACACCAGGGTATGATTTGAAGTTTAGAAATGGAACAAAGATGCTGGTACTCAGTGGTACAACATGTTTAGCCATTCAATAAATAGGCACTGATGCATGCTCGTGATGCAAGCTTTGGGTATTTGGCAAGTGTGTAACATTAAACACATTACAAAATCGGCATTTTAAATCACCCGATATACCGAGCATTAAATATGATATTATGATACGTATCGTGGAAAGAGTGAACCTCAATTTACCGACATACTGGGAATAACACGCACCCTTAGTAACCAGCACCCTATGCTTGTCTAAAGAGGCAACTAACAGGATCAGGTGGTCGGGTGGTCAGGCTCGCTGATTTGCTTGTCATCATGTCCCAAATGCATGAGTCAATGCTCATGACGTCAATCACTTCATTGTCTGATCCAGACTTGATTTTTTACAGACCCCTTCATATAGCTGGAATTTAAACAACAAATAAACAAACAAACAAAAACTCTTTGGTTGAAAGCCTGGTTACTAAGAAAACATAACCCACTCAATCAATCACTATACTGAACTGCCTCTGTGGTCTAGTGGTAGAGCATCATACCAGAGAGCAGAAGTTCCAAGACATAACCCACTCACTCACTCACTCACTATACTGAACCGCCTCTGTGGTCTAGTGGTAGAGCATCATCCCAGAGAGCAGAAGTTCCTGGGTTTCATCCACGGCCACATTATGCCAAAAGATGCTACTTGTTGTTACTCTATGCTCGGAGTCAGTATGCTGTGTCAGAGTGGGATATTCATGTTAAACTGTGGCTTGGTATCTCAGTGGGCTAGCACTATAAAATCGGCATTAGTCTTGACTAGCAAGAGCAGCCACGCTTACACACACCTGCATGCACTTTCCTATATAAGTGCAATAATCTTGGATGCGACATCAAACCCCATTTCATCTCACCTCACTACTCACTATGCTGACCATACAATTTTGTGTTTTTTGGGATGGTGGTTTACACTTGCTGTAGCACCCAATGTACTGAATCTAGTCTCGCAAGTATACTCACCACCAAAAGAAACGCAAACCATAGAAACATATACTGATATAGAGAAGAATGTAGTTGAGAAGACATGTTTCCAATGTGTTCCACTTAATGACAAGACTGACAATCAGTCAAGTGTTACCACAAAGTGTCTTTATTTGTATCACGATATGCTCCACGTGATTTCCAATCTTCACACGCTAATCCTGCATGAGATAAATGGTGCATCTCAAGTCATGGATCTATATCGTCACATGGGTTGTACACACAACATACCAGTATGTTAGTTTGTGCATCGAACCAATCTTATATCTCTTGAGTGAGTGAGTGAGTGAATATGGTTTTACCCCGCTTTTAGAAATATTCCAGCAATATCACGGCGGGGGACACCAGTATGGGCTTCACACATTGTACACATGTCGGGAATCGAACCCGGGTCTTCAGCGTGACGAGCGAACGCTTTAACCACTAGGCTACCCGACCGCCCCTATATCTCTTGAATATGAGTAATTCTTCATATATTAACCAAAATGCATGGTAATCACGTTTCTTTTGTCGGTGAGTAAATGTGGAGTGTGTATCAGTGTAGTGCAATGTTGCGTTCTCTGGTTGCAGATCACGGGACCCTTCCTCCAGATCGGTGCAGTTGTGCTGATGACTCTGATGACATGGGTTATCTCCCTTCAGTGGTTTAAACTCTCACATTGGGGTAGGTAGGCACTTCTGCTGACACAGCTCGGAACACCACTAAACAGTAAAGGCACGGTTCATAAGGGTTAAATTATTCATTTAGTGACGATCCTGAAAGGGTCGGGTGTCATTGAACATCAACGCCAAGAGACATTGCCCGTAATATCAACCACTTATAGGTCTTACAGATTAACTATAAGCCACCATTACATGACTGGAATATTGATGGCTATGGCATGAAGAAACAAACTGTTGGACCTGAGTTGTTCTGCAAAAAGCTGAAGCATGCTTGCATTGTCTAATAAGAGCGTATACTAGTTCTATATTGGAACGCATTATTTTTAAGAATTAGGATTTAATTTTTTTTGAAAATCGAAATAAAACGAAACATGCGGCAGACTTTATGATGATGCGGGCAGTGCCTGAGAACCAAGACTAGTATTTTTTTTAGCCTAATATTTATTGTTAATCTCATGATGCCATGTTCACCATGTAATATTATTATTATTAGGCTTAAAAAATAAAATAAAAATTGGTTCTAAGGCAATGACTTTTGAAAATATAGTGCGGGCAGGCGTGTGTTTTTTTACTTGTTCAAACTAGTTTTTAACCAAATAAACAGTTGTTTTCTATCAACCTGGGAAAGGGCCTCCCAACATAAACAAGCATACAAACTCCTATTGCTACCATATCACGAGATGTGCAGTAATGGGAAGTAACTGTGTAACTTACGAGTTTTTCATTTTTGGGGAAAATGGAAATTAAAATGAAACGTGCGGCAGATATTATGATGATGCAGGCAGTGCCTTAGAACCAAGACTATTACTTCCTAATACTTAAACACAATGTGATTGCACTGCTTTACTGCTAATCTCATATTATGGTCATGTGTATGCTTGTTAATGTAGGGAGGCCCTTTCCCAGGTTGATGATACGCAACTGTTTATTTGGGTACATACTAGTTTGAACAAGCAAAAAAAAGGACAAAAAAAACACTCCCTGCCCACGCTATATTTTCAAAAGTCATTGCCTGAGAACCAGTTCTTTTATTTTTTTAAGTCTAATGTTTGTAACTTTTTGTTTTGTTCCTTTGGCCACACTGATGGGTTCTTAGCTAAAACAATGATGACTGCCATCATGGTTTATGCCATCTGTTGAAAAACTGATAAAGGTTTGAGTTTGGGCAGCACTGCAATCATCGAATGTTTCACACCAATCACATCTGGGAGGGCCTCAACAAGGGTTATCTCCCTTTGCAAGCTGTTATTGGGCTCATTAGTTGCGTGACCTCTGACCTGTGGGTGTGATGAAAGGAGGGCAAGCAGTGCTCATTTCACAGATGTGTCTCATTACGTGCACTGGTATCCTAATAATGACACAACTGATTCAGCTGTTGTTGAACCTTATCCTCTCACCTTCACAGGAAATGTTAACCCCCTCAAACCAGGAATACACGATGCCGTTAAGAACGTGGTCGCATGTAACAAATGTTATATTTGGGATAACACTTTCTTAGTAAAGTACAGATTCTCGTACTTTTTGGGGTTGAGTCCCATCTGTGATTCGAGCCCATACTTGCCAGAGTGAGGCACCTAATCACCAGCACACAAAGTCAGCGATCTAACCCACTGAGGCTGCCACAAAAGTGAAAGCCGGGCAACTGGTAGTCTAGATCACATACTAGGAGTACCCCTCTGACATGTAAATTGGCACAGCCTTGGTGGCTGAGTGGGTTAGATGGCTGACAGGACTAGCTATAAACTCGGAGGACTATTGACATAAGGTTTTCACTAGTCAAGGACTAGTCTTATACAAAAATGGAATTGCAATGTTCCATATTAGGGGTTGACGGGTCATTGAGGTCTTCTATGGTATTTGAATCTAGGGACCTCCCAGGTCCTCAACTTTTAACATTAGCAGGGCTCGAAAAATCCACTCGTCCGCTCGTATTGACGAGTGGTAACTGATGTCGGGCAAGCTAAAATGATCAAATACTCGTCCTGACAGACGAGCAGATGCTTACAGCAGTTTAATTTATATTTGATTTGATGTGCGGTATATTGACACGGAAATCACGGCCATTCAGCCGATCGATATCTATGTCGAGTATAGCATTAACAATTAGGCTGAGGTTTGTCTCTTGATGTATCTTTGCGCAGGCTTTGCGCTGAAACCAGTCTTTATTGATGTAAGCGGCCAGTTGCTAACTAAACTAAAATGTCGGATATGAGAAAGTTTTTCTCGTTGGACGGTCGTGCCGACAAAAAATTGACTGCACAGGCGGAGAAACAAAAACTTAGTCAAAAACAATACGATACACAAAAGCGGAAACGTTTTGTACAATCTGCGTGGTTGAGTGAATTTGAATGGGCAAAATTTGACGATGATGACAGCGAGTTGTATTACACCGTCTATCGAAAATACCCCAAACTATCTGATCCCAAATGTGGACTCAGAAAAGAAACTTTGAAATTTCACCCTAAAAGTAGGAAGCATATTCAGTGCTGTGAACATGATAAATATTTTGACAAACCCCAGACTGCGCAGTTTGCGAAGTCAATGCAAAAAGTTGACGAAAAAAACAGTGAAGTTTATGAAAAGCTATTCACAACAGCCCACTATGTTGCAATAATAGGGGAACCATTTTCAAAATTTCCAAGTTTTTGACAGTGACAGATAGATGTGTCTTTCATCATAACTTAACTGTTCAAAATAACTAAACTTATTATTCCTTAATTTATTCAATATTGTCTTACTGTGGAAATAAAAACACAAAATAAATCTTGAAACAATTTATTTACTTTGTTTTCAGTGGTTGGCACATGATACATGATATTGTCTGTTCAGCACTGAGCAATAGGGCAAGTGAAAATTTGGCAGGACGAGTACAAAATAAAAAGTTCTTGCCCTGCAGGACAAGTAGGGTTGAATTTTTTTTTCGAGCCCTGATTAGGGCTGTGACAGGTGCCCCCTGACTTCCATGCTTAGGTTTCAACACAGTTCTTGGGGCACACTCTGCCTGCACTACTCTCTATGTGACACGATCACTTGACAGTGGTAGTGCTTCAGTGTAACCCTGCCTTTCCGTGATTGCAAATGCATATCAAAGGTCCTGATCCTGCCCTTGACATGAGAGTTATTGCTCCTTCACAAACAGCTAATTGGCATTAACATATATTGACTTGCAAATGTGATCAGGTTCCAAATTTACTTGGATGTTTGTGAGAGTCCTGGTCCTTAGTTCGTGATTAGAATTTGATAGCTATTCATGAGTTTATTTCATGACATAAATGTTGGCATGGATGAGTCACTTTGCTCGTATCAGAAAAATAGGACATTTTATTGGCCCTGGGTTGTATACCTCAGATTCCTACATATTTTTGTTTGTTTATTTGTTTGTTAGTTTTTTGTTTAATGCAGCACTCAGCAATATTCCTGCTATATGAAGGCTGTCTGTAGATTATCAAATCTGGATTAGACAATCCAGTGATTGACATCATGAGCATTGATGTACGCAATTGGAATACGATGACATGCATCCACCAAATCAGCGAGGCCAGACCAACTGATCCCGTTTGTCGCCACTTATGACAAGCATAGTCGCCTTTTATGACAAGCATAGTCGCCTTTTATGACAAGCATAGTCGCCTTTTATGACAAGCATAGTCGCCTTTTATGACAAGCATGGGTTGCTAAAGACCAATTCTAATCCGTTACCTATGTGTAAGTCATCACACAAAGTATGTAGGGACATTATACCCCTACATGACCCTGTGGGGATTCCAGGTTAGAACTGTCCCCAAACAACCTATGCTTCTTGTATGAGGAAACTTAATGGATCCAGTAGGCAGGCTTGGTGATTTGGATTATTTCATTATACCTCGATGGCGTGAATCGTTGCTCATAATAACAGTCCAGGCTCTTTTATTTAGATGCTGCTGTCATATAGCTGGAATAGTACTGATGGTGCAGTTAAACAACAAAATACTCAGTGCAGAATTAAGGCTCACATATTTTCTTTTTGTGTCCTCTTTCAGCGTTGAAGCTGTTGTGGCTGACCGTGTATGTTGCTGTTATGATCGGACTGTACATATCCCCGTACTTCATCAATTCCCCGTGTGTCACTCACGCCGACAACTTGCCTAGTAAGCCCCTCGTACTAGCCCACCGAGGAGCATCAGAGGTTAGTGTTACATGGCTCCAGGCTTAATGTCTCCACTCTTATCATGCCCTGGACCGCCTCCGTGGTCAAGTGGTAGAGCGTCTCATACTAGCCCACCGAGGAGCATCAGAGGTTAGTGTTACATGGCTCCACGCTTAATGTCTCCACTCTTATCATGCCCTGGACCGCCTCCGTGGTCAAGTGGTAGAGCGTCTCGTACTAGCCCACCGAGGAGCATCAGAGGTTAGTGTTACATGGCTCCACGCTTAATGTCTCCACTCTTATCATGCCCTGGACCGCCTCCGTGGTCAAGTGGTAGAGCGTCTCATACTAGCCCACCGAGGAGCATCAGAGGTTAGTGTTACATGGCTCCACGCTTAATGTCTCCACTCTTATCATGCCCTGGACCGCCTCCGTGGTCAAGTGGTAGAGCGTCTCGTACTAGCCCACCGAGGAGCATCAGAGGTTAGTGTTACATGGCTCCACGCTTAATGTCTCCACTCTTATCATGCCCTGGACCGCCTCCGTGGTCAAGTGGTACAGCGTCTCATACTAGCCCACCGAGGAGCATCAGAGGTTAGTGTTACATGGCTCGACACTTAATGTCTCCACTCTTATCATGCCCTGGACCGCCTCTGTGGTCAAGTGGTAGAGCGTCTCATACTAGCCCACCGAGGAGCATCAGAGGTTAGTGTTACATGGCTCCACGCTTAATGTCTCCACTCTTATCATGCCCTGGACCGCCTCCGTGGTCAAGTGGTAGAGCGTCTCATACTAGCCCACCGAGGAGCATCAGAGGTTAGTGTTACATGGCTCCACGCTTAATGTCTCCACTCTTATCATGCCCTGGACCGCCTCCGTGGTCAAGTGGTAGAGCGTCTCATACTAGCCCACCGAGGAGCATCAGAGGTTAGTGTTACATGGCTCCACGCTTAATGTCTCCACTCTTATCATGCCCTGGACCACCTCCGTGGTCAAGTGGTACAGCGTCCACCCGGAGACCTGGGGTTCCATCCCCAGCCGCGTCATACAAAAAGAAGTTAAAAGATGGTACTTGTTGTTACCCTTTCCAGGGTTAGAAACTAACAGTTTTTGTCCACTAGTCCTTATAATGATAACATATAGCAAAATCCTTACAATGGGCCAATTTCTACTTGTCCTTATGATACCTTTACCATTGGGCAGTTTGGTAAGGACTTCAGGACTAGTGCCAATTTCTAACGCTGCTTACCTTACAGGAAATATGAGGGTCCTGTAAAGTAATAATACGGTGTTGTTTACTTTACTGTAAGATTTAGTAAACACTTTCATTAATGGACCTTATATTTCTTGTCAAGAATTTGTTACACTGAATATTACTGTGCATCCTGAGGAACACACTTTAATTATTTTTGTGTCCATTCTATACTTTTGTGCCCTGTAGAATCCTGGTCCCTTTTCATGTTGGTTTCACTAAAGTGGAATATCTGTAGTTGACGTAAAACCCAACTCACACACTCATCTCCATCAGCTTGGAACATGCTACAGGTCTCTGTGTGAGATGTCCAGTGTAGCCACCATGGGTGGGTGAGTTGTACAACTAATTGTTTAAAGCTGTTATGATGTAGCTGTCCTGTTTGTAGATTTTACCCGAGAACACACTGATGGCGTATGAGTTTGCCTACCAGGATGGAGGCTATGGTGTGGAGAGCGACGTGCAGATCAGGTGAGTCTGACATCCTCCTCTGTAGGTCCGGAGGCTGTAGTTGCTTCAACAGTTTCCCAGTACGTCATGCTCACAATAAGGGACTGTTTGAATAGTTGGGCGGTTGGGCCCAGTGGTTAAAGTGTTTGCTCGTCACACCCAGTGCCTCGGTTCGATTCCCCACATGGGTACAATGTATGAAGCCCATTTGTTCCCCGCCGTGATATTGCAACAAACAACAAACAGACAAACAAACAAAACACATACTAGGATTTCAGGTACGATGTGTTCAAAGCAGCGTAGCCCCAAGCCACTGACCCATTGCTCCCAAAAGAAACGTGATTACCGTGCATTTTGGTTAATATATGAAGAATTACTCATATTCAAGAGATATAAGATTGGTTCGATGCACAAACAAACATACTGGTATGTTGTGTGAACTTATGCTCATGAACGCATCCATGTACCCGTGAAGATCCGGGGTAGAATAGGTCTTCAGCAACCCATGCTTGCAGTGAAATGCGACTAATGGAATCGAGTGGTCAGGCTTGCTGACTTGGTTGATGCATGTCATTGTATCCCAATTGCTTGGATTGATGATCATGATGACAATCACTGGATTGTGTGGTCCAGACTCAATTATTTACAGACCGCCTTCATATAGCTGGAATATTGCTGAGTTCAGTGTTAAACCAAAAACCAAAAAAAACCACCTAAATTACGTTATAAGGCTTGTGGTGACCTATTGTTTAAGGGCTCGAAAACATGTGACGTGGGGATATGAGCATTAGTTGTGCTGGATGACGTGGGAATATGAGGATTAGTTGTGCTGGATGATGTGGGGATATGAGCATTAGTTGTGCTGGATGATGTGGGTATATGAGGATTAGTTGTGCTGGATGACGTGGGGACATGAGGATTAGTTGTGCTGGATGACGTGGGAATATGTGGATTAGTTGTGCTGGATGACGTGGGTATATGAGGATTAGTTGTGCTGGATGATGTGGGAATATGAGGATCAGTTGTGCTGGATGACGTGGGAATATGAGGATTAGTTGTGCTGGATGATGTGGGTATATGAGGATTAGTTGTGCTGGATGATGTGGGAATATGAGGATCAGTTGTGCTGGATGACGTGGGGATATGGGGATTAGTTGTGCTGGATGACGTGGGGATATGTGGATTAGTTGTGCTGGATGACGTGGGGACATGAGGATTAGTTGTTCTGGATGACGTGGGGATATGTGGATCAGTTGTGCTTAGTTTTGTACCTAAACTGCATGGATAGTTGCTGACAATATTGATCACTGGATTGCCTGGTCCAGACTTGAGTATATAGTTGGAATATTGGTAGGTGCAGCGTTACACTACAACCACTGATGGCTGGTGCCTGTTTCAGCCTGGACTGTGTGCCCTTCATCCTCCATGACAGGAGCTTAGAGAGGACCACAAATATAAAAGATGTTTTCCCGGACCGAGTAAATGATGATCCATCGTCTTTCAACATGTCGGATTTAAAAGCTTTGAATGCTGGTTCCTGGTTTATACAAGTGAGTACCGCAGAACAATGAAGGATGCCCTTTCAGGATATATCTTTGTGGGGAGTTGAGGTTACTCTACCAACTTACCTCCCTTTACTTATAAGAATAGCATACAAACACACTAAAAGGGACCCCTTATATTAGTTCGTTATAACTGAGATCATCCTAGGCACACAAACAGTTCATTATATTCCTCATTTTGGTATAAGCGTGTTCGTTATAAATGTAGTTTACTGAATATCTATACACCAGCTGATAAACAGCAACTTGTATCCGCTATTCTAAAGTCCGAGTCAAGTATACTTACTTCTAGTCTAGCAAGACCAACTCATACTACTCCCAAAAAAATAAAAGTCTTGGTTCTCAGGCACTGATCACATCATAATTACATCTGTAGCACATTTCGTTTCCATTTAAAAAAAATATGAATTAATACTAATACTCAAAAACAATGCGATCCAATATAGCAGTTACTTCCTTTCACATGCACACAGCTTTAATGTGCATCTCATATTATGGTCATAGCGGCAAATAGAACTTTGTATTCTTCTTAATGTATGGGGGGACACGGGTGGCCAAGTCGTCTAAGGCGCCGCGATTCGCTGTGCAGAGTTGTGTCCCTTGGACAAGCCAGAAACCTATGATTGTGGGTTCGAATCCCGGTTCGCCCCTTTTATGGTTCTAGGTTTGTCAGCTCCATACCCGTGCTTGTGGGTTTCACCAAAGTGGTAAATGTCTGAGACCTGCATCACTTTTGGCTTTCCTCCCACATTAAGCTGACACGCCCCAAAATGACTGGAATACTGTTAAAAGCAGCGTTAAACCCAACTCACTCACTCACTCACTCTGAATGTATGGAGGCCCTTTTCCAGATTCCCATATTGTTTGTTTGGTAATATACCAGTTTGAACAAGCAAACAAAAAATGCCCACCGCCTGCCTGCACTATATTTTCAAAATTCATTGCCTGAGAACCATTTCTTTTATTTTTTTAAGTCGTCATCCAGAAGTTCAGGTTCCAGTTTACTGGGGTTGAGACTAATGAGAGAGGAAGGGTTGAAACTGGATTTTTATAGTTAGTTAACACCCTTGCCTCAAGAAGATGATATGATCCTTGGTTTCTCGGGATATACCTATTCTGATGGGAATGTCGTACATTGAAACTGTATGTCCTGACAACCATGTTCACCTTCTCCTCAGAATGACCCTTTCTGGACTGCCGGAGACTTGACCGATGCTCAACGGAAACAGGTAGCCAATCAGACGCTGCCGACATTGGAGGAGCTTGCACGATTGGGCCGAAACTACAGTGACAATGTGTTGATGTTCGACCTGCGGGCCCCGCCACAGTCACACCCCTGCTTCAATCTGACCGTCAACTACACCATACAAGCCCTCACGAGAGCAGGATTCCCACTACAAAACGTAAGGATACGGTGTGAGTGAGTCAGCATGTGTGATTGAGTGACGACACGGTTGGAAAAGTCCATCAATATCATGGCAGACTCTCAATAGGCAAACCTGTTGTGTGTGTTATGAGCGGCGTCTGTAAGTAATCTAGTCATGTCCAGACAATCCAGCTATTGCCATCATGATTGCCTTCAATGGAGAATACCAAGACATAGAGTCAACTCAGCCTCGCATCCCGATTCATTTTCTCGCCTCTTAACGACCAACCATTTGATATTCTAAATCCTGACAATAAATAATTTGGACACCAAGGCATCCCAGACTCCCCGTGGATCCCCAGACAACCCAGACATTCCAGGCATACTAAGCACCCCCAGACACCCTCAGGCATACTAGACACCCCCAGACACCCTCAGGCATACTAGACACACCGAGACACCCTCAGGCAACCTAGGCATCCCCAGACACCCTCAGACATACAAGACATACTAGACACCTCCAGATACCCTCAGGCATACTAGACACCCTCAGGCAACCTAGGCATCCCCGGACACCCTCATAGGCATACTAGACACCCCCAGACACCCTCAGGCATACTAGACACCCCCAGACATACTAGACACCCCCAGACACCCTCAGACATACTAGACACCCTCAGGCACCCTCAGGCATACTAGACACCCCCAGACACCCTCAGGCATACTAGACACCCCCAGACATAATAGACACCCCCAGACACCCTCAGACATACTAGACACCCCCAGACACCCTCAGGCATACTAGACACCCCCAGACACCCTCAGGCATACTAGACACCCCCAGACACCCTCAGGCATACTAGACACCCCAAGACACCCTCATAGGCAAACTAGGCACCCCAAGACATCTCAGACACTCCATGGCATACTAGGCACACACTCAGACAGCTCAGACACCCCCAAACACCCTGACACGCCATGCATCCTAGGTGTCTCCAGGTAACCCCCGGGACCCCTGGGCATCTCCAGGCATCCCGGCACAGTGGAATGCTGGATAGGTCTACCAGTGTGAGTTACAGTCATATCCCTGCTTCAGGTCTGGTGGCTACAGACCACATTCAACAACAGCCGCCCCACCGGTGTCACCGTCGTGGGCGAATACTACATCCCCGTCAGCAGTCTCAGGAAGGCTAACATGTCCATCGTCAATGTCCAGTACACGGAGCTGACCGACGACCAGATAGAGTGAGTCACAGAACCAGGCATTTCCTGCAGTAGGCATCACACGATCAGTCAGTGTGGACCAGTTTGTCACGTGTTGAACATGCTGGACACAATATCAGGCCAGCACAATGGGATCAGAATCCCAGAATGTCTGTAGCACCGATTTGATTACAAAATAAACATGCCACCCCAAATAATACAAGTCGGCTGTTCTACTGTTGCACAGGAAATTACCAGTAGGGTACATGTTCTAATAATATTTGTTAATGTAAGGGACATAACTCTGTCTTATTTCTTTCTTATAACAGGCCAAAGATAGTTTAATCATCTAAGGCACCATAATTTCATAATTTGCTGTGCAGAGTTGCTTCCCTTAGGCATGCCAGAATCCTATGATTTGGGCTTTGAGCCCAGAATTTTCCTGATTTGTCAGCACTGTGAAACATCCCACTTCATGCTGTGATATCATATACACAGTGTTCACAGCTGTGATAACCTCAATTCAGTCACTGACTCTTCCTTAGAAGTTCCAAGCTGTTACTATGACAACTGTTTGTGTTTCAGGGAGTACCAGGCCTCCAACATCAGCATCAATATGTGGACGGTGAACTCCGAGTGGATGTACTCCCTGTGTTGGTGCATGGGCATCTCCTCCGTCACGGCAGACAGCTGCCACACGCTCAGGCACGTCCAGGCGCCCATCTGGCATCTGGTGAGTGAATCACTCAATCACTCACGCACACGCACACGCACACGCACACGCACACGCACACCCAACCATCTACGCATGCATTATCAGAACCAAGGCAGGAAAACCCATGCACCCACGGACTTACTCAATCAATCACTTATCCTCATGATTAGAATCAAGTATTGATAGTATTATCACATATTGTGTTTGGAATGAAAGTCTGTTCTGTTCTGTTCTGTTCTTATGGTGCAAGATGTTGTTTCCATTGGTGTTACTCACTGCCTCATTTAGGGGTGGTCGGTGGTAGTTCGCATCGTCGCGCCGAAGACCCGGGTTCAATTCCCGACATGGGTACAATGTGTGAAGCCCATTTCTGGTGTCCCCCGCTGTGGTTTTGCTCCAAGTGGCGTAAAACCATACACACTCACTGCCTCATTTTTTATTTTTTCTCTCTTTCTTTCGCTTTCGTCTCTCACTTTCTCTCTCACTTTCTCACTCTCTGTCACTCTCACTCTGTTCATTAAACCTCACTCAGGCTAAGTAAGGATAAGATATATGGATGAACAACTTCTCACTCAGTCTCTTCAGAAAATGGGGGATGTGTGTTGAATGTTGAGAAAAGTGTCCATCACTTTGAGTTAACGAATGTGTTTGTTTGGTGCAGGTGCCGTCCAGCTACCTGATCCTGTGGGTGACTGTGGACGTGTTGTCAGCTGTGATAGTCATCACGGTGTTCATAGTACAGAGGTATGTACATCACTCAAGGTCCATTACCTTGGTCTCATCCAACAAAACATGGTCTGTCTCCGTGGTCTAGTGGACAGTGCATCTGCCCATAGACTGTCTCCGTGGTCTAGTGGATAGTGCATCTGCTCGTAGACCGCCATCTGTGGTCTAGTGGATAGTGCATCTGCCCGTAGACTGTCTCCGTGGTCTAGTGGATAGTGCATCTACACGTAGACTCTCTCCGTGGTCTAGTGGGTAGTGCATCTACACGTAGACTCTCTCCGTGGTCTAGTGGGTAGTGCATCTACACGTAGACTGTCTCCGTGGTCTAGTGGATAGTGCATCTGCCCGTAGACTGTCTCCGTGGTCTAGTGGATAGTGCATCTGCCCGTAGACCGCCATCTGTGGTCTAGTGGATAGTGCATCTGCCCGTAGACTGTCTCCGTGGTCTAGTGGATAGTGCATCTGCCCGTAGACTGTCTCCGTGGTCTAGTGGATAGTGCATCTGCCCGTAGACTGTCTCCGTGGTCTAGTGGATAGTGCATCTGCCCGTAGACCGCCATCTGTGGTCTAGTAGATAGTGCATCTGCCCATAGACCGCCATCTGTGGTCTAGTGGATAGTGCATCTGCCCGTAGACTGTCTCCGTGGTCTAGTGGATAGTGCATCTACATGTAGACTGCTTCTGTGGTCTAGTTGTAGAGCATTTGCCAATATACCACTTCTGTGGTCTAGTGGATAGTACAATTGCCCGTAGGCCGCCTCCGAGGTCTAGTGGTAGAGCATTTGCCTGTAGATTGGAGAAATCAGTTCGTTATATGTTGTTTGTGATGTACGTTTTCGCTTGGAAATGTCTGCCATCATGATCTTGGATAAAGCAAAATACAAAATACATAATTGGAGCATTGACTTGTATTAGCAGTAATTACGTCATAGCATTCAACTGATAACATTTCATATCATTTTTAGAAGCTTGTTTATCAAATATGAATTTAGCATTTCACGATTTACATATGGGGAGATGTGTAGTCGGCGATTTTGCTCTGGCCTCGTTCTGCAAACTGCAGTCGTGAAACTGCAAAGATTTAATGTTTGTTTTACAGACAAGATTAGTCCAATTACATGAACGGGTATGAATACTAAGATTAACATAAAGCATAAAGTTTAACAAGGTTGATTTGCCGTTGATTGTGTTGATACGCCGCTGATTATGATTTGCAGCTGATTGTTTGATACGCCGCTGATTGTGTTGATGCGACACTGATTGTGTTGATGCGATGCTGATTGTGATTCGCGGCTGATTGTGATTCGCGGCTGATTGTGTTGATTTGCCGCTGATTGTGTTGATGCGATGCTGATTGTGTTGATACGCCGCTGATTGTGTTGATACGCCGCTGATTGTGTTGATTTTCAGCTGATTGTGTTGATACGCAGTTGATGTGACGCTGATTGTGTTGATACGCCGCTGATTGTGTTGATTCGCAGCTGATTGTGTTGAATCAAGGTTGATTGTGTTGATTTGCCGCTGATTGTGTTGATTTGCAGTTGATTGTGTTGATATGCCGCTGATTGTGTTGATTCGCAGCTGATTGTGTTGAAACGCCGCTGATTGTGTTGATTCACAGCTGATTGTGTTGATGTGACGCTGATTGTGTTGATTTGCCGCTGATTGTGTTGATTCAAGGTTGATTGTGTTGATTCGCCGCTGATTGTGTTGATTCAAGATTGATTGTGTTGATTCGCCGCTGATTGTGTTGATGTGACGCTGATTGTGTTGATTCACCACTGATTGTGTTGATTCACCGCTGATTGTGTTGATACGCCGCTGAATGTGTTGATACGCCGCTGAATGTGTTGATACGCCGCTGATTGTGTTGATACTCCGCTGATTGTGTTGATACGCCGCTGATTGTGTTGATACGCCGCTGATTGTGTTGATACGCCGCTGATTGTGTTTATTCACAGCTGATTGTGTTGATTCGCAGCTGATTGTGTTGATTCGCAGCTGATTGTGTTGATTCAAGGTTGATTGTGTTGATTCCCGGCTGATTGTGTTGATTCGCAGCTGATTGTGTTGATGTGACGCTGATTGTGTTGATTCACCGCTGATTGTGTTGTTACGCCGCTGATTGTGTTGATTCAAGGTTGATTGTGTTGATTCTCCGCTGAATGTGTTGATACGCCGCTGATTGTGTTGATACGCCGCTGATTGTGTTGATTCGCCGCTGATTGTGTTGATTCAAGGTTGATTGTGTTGATTTGCTACTGATTGTGTTGATACGCCGCTGATTGTGTTGATGCAACGCTGATTGTGATTCGCAGCTGATTGTGTTGATTCCATTTTGATTGTGTTGATTTGCCGCTGATTGTGTTGATGCGACGCTGATTGTGATTCGCAGCTGATTGTGTTGATTCAAGGTTGATTGTGTCGATTTGCCGCTGATTGTGTTGATACGACGCTGATTGTGTTCATTCTACGCTGATTGTGATTCGCCACTGATTGTGTTGTTTCGCAGCTGGTTGCGTTCATTCGACGCTGATTGTGAACGCCGCTGATTGTGTTGTTTCGAACCTGGTTGCGTTCAAGCGACGCTGATTGTGATTCACAGCAGATGGTGTTGATTCGCCGCGATTGTGTTGATTCGCCGCAATTGTGTGGATTCGCCGCGATTGTGTGGATTCACTCCGATTGTGTGGATTCGCCGCAATTGTGTGGATTCGCCGCGATTGTGTGGATTCACTCCGATTGTGTGGATTCGCCGCAATTGTGTGGATTCACCGTGATTGTGTGGATTCGCCGCGATTGTGTGGATTCGCAGTTGATTGTGTTGATTCACTGCTGATTGCGTATAGCCAATTGTCAGTGACACTTGACACTGAATGAGATTTCTCAGTTCGCTATACATGTCACTAATTTGTGGTATTTGGGCTTATCGGGGATCAGATATCAGTTCGATAGATAAGTAAATTTGCTGAAGAGAGTTTGTCCTGTACGTAAATTTTATATGATAATATATAGGAGATAAGTCATGGATTTTGTGACAGGTAGTTGTATCCCTTTGTTCCGTCTATCCGTGTTCGCTCTTTCCGTCTTCGTTATATCCGTGGTCTACTGTAGTGTTGTATACATTATAAGTTTTAACTTGTTTCAAGAGTGTATTGGACCCGTGAAGATCCGGGGTAGAATAGGTCTTCAGCAACCCATGCTTGCCATAAAAGGCAACTATGCTTGTCGTAAAAGGCGACTAACGAGATCGGGTGGTCAGGCTCGCTGACTTGGTTGATGCATGTCATCGATCCCAATTGCATGGATCGATGCTCATGATATCAATCACTGGATTGTCTGGTCCAGACTTGATTATTTTACAGACCGCGGTCATTTAGCTGGAATATTGCTGAGTACGGCGTAAAACAACAAACCAACCAGCCAAGAGTGTATTGTTTTGATTTACGGGGGTTATCTTCAGTCCAGAATATCTTAAACATACAGGTTTGAAACTGCTATTCAATAAGAACACTGATTAGATCATAATCACACGCAACACTTTCAAAAATGTTGGATAAATAAAAGATGTACCAGCCTAAGACATGTGACATTCTATTTACAGAATCCGATTATACGGGACTTCCTTCAGTCCTGAGACCATCTCCCTGAACAGCGCCACCCGCAGCGCCCAGGGCCACCGATCTCGCAACATGAAGGAGAAGTTGCTCTACAACATGACGGACGGGGACCTCGTGGAGGAGGTGGAGGCGCGTGCTGCCGGGCACGGCGGCGTGGTCAACCAGCCCGCATCATCCTACTCCATGGCCTCCATCAACAACGACCCCTACGCCAGCCAATACCACAACGGAAACACCTTCCCCGACAGCAAGTATGAAGTGGAGTAGAGCTGGCCGGTGGTCAATGTGACAATAGTCTTTCTTTGTGACACTACAAGTTTGGATGCAATATTTTTATCTGTGTATTACGGTGTATTTATTGGTACACACAGCCTTGTGAGCTTACGTCACTGTGTCACGGAACGTCTGGTAGTCGTCTTTGTCAAAGGCAGGTAGTTGTGTGTGGCTCTCTGGCTGTGTGTGAACGTGTTGTGACATTGGATCATTCCAAGAAAAATGGGTTAATTGCTTTGCTCCTTGTCATGAAACAGGAAAGGCTTTGCAACAAACAGAGGACTGCTGTATCAGTAGACTTCTTGTCAGATCGTCAGTGAGGTACGGATAGGAAAAGTGGAAACAAAGTTTCTCATCCCGTGTCATTGAAATTTATAATTTTGGTTTTGGCCAGCAAGAAATTTTAGTCTAAACTTTACAGAAACACTTGGAATACATAGAGTTGATTTTGACTCTTTCAAGTCAAGTGTTACGGGAAGCTTATGTCCGGGTATGACAACGGGAATGAGGATTCAAACTCAGACAACATTACCTAGCATGCCTTCAGGCCTCACAAACCAATTTCTTTGTTTTTTGTCATTTGGCTGAACATTATTTAGTGTGTCAATATATATAATGCCATCATTGCTTATGAGTTTATCAATATTCTGCAACTGAGAGAAACTTTATTTCATGTTTTCATGAGCTGATGAGAAACTTTATTTCATGACCAAATGTGAAAATATTGAACGTACCTTGAGCCACAGTTTGTGAGTACAGCGTGTATGGTGGAGCTGTTGCCCTTTGATATCACTTGCTACAACGTATATGTTATGTTTCCTACTGCCTTGGTCAGTGTGTATGAAGGATGACCTGTCGGAGTGACTGGGGTAGGGTGGCCACCTTTCAGTTAACCCTAGAGGCGCAGTCCTTTGGTTTTATCAGGTATTGTGAAGGTGAACTTCAGAACCTGGTTCATAGACAGTGTTGGTGCTACCACAGGGCCTTTTGTTGTCTGTTGGTTGATTTTTGTGACCGAATGACTTTAAAACACCAGAAGAAAAGAAATTACTTTTGACATATTTTGCAATGGGGAACTGAATTTCATTTGTGGGCGGTGAGAGGATGAAACCACTTCTGTATTCAAACTTATGCAGAGCTCGAGATAAGTTGCGTATTTGCGTAAAATACACATTAAATAAACTGAAGTTTGCAGACAAATAAAATCCTAGCGTATAAAATACGCAACAAAAACTATAAATACACTATTGAAATAAAAATAATGCGTATATTACAACTATTTGATAAAACCGTTGCGAACATTACAACTGTTAGAAAAAATTATTGTGTATCAGACGATCACCAAATTCACTTACCGACAGTTACATTCGGAAAAGCACGTTGTGCCTAGGCAATGTACGTGTTGTATCTTAATTAGTCGCAGATTGGTATTTAAAACAATAGCTTTCTTACAATGCTAGGTTTTGTAAACAAAAATTGTCTTCCCGGGGAGGGAGCCGCAAACAGACGCAGACGGGTATACTACTATTCACATAGTTTTAAACGGGATTGTTACGAAACAGGTTTTAAGTTAAATTCCCAAATGCCGAGAAAGAGGTGGGTAAAAATGTTTTGAATACCATCTAAAACTTGTGGATACACACTCAAAATCCAACCCCTGAGTAAAATCCCAAATAACCCACAGCTTACTATAGGGCTGCTGATGGCTTCAGAAACTAAACAGTCTGAAACCCAATACACAGTTTGATGTTCTCAACTTCCAGGGCACGGGTGGCCCAGTCGTCTAAGGCGTCACGATTCGCTGTGCATAGTTGCGTTCCTTGGGCATGCCAGAAACCTGTGATTGTGGGTTCAAATCCCGGTTCATCCCTTTTATGTTTCTAGGTTTGTCAGCACCATACCCGTGCTCGTGGGTTTCACCAAAGTGGTAAACGTATGAGACCTACATCACTTCGGGCTTTACTCCCACATTAAGCTGACACGCCGCGATATAACTGGAATACTGTTAAAAGCGGCGTTAAACCCAACTCACTCACTCCTCAACTTCCAATCCTGTTTGCGGGTGTCAATGAGGACAGAATCAGCTGGAACTTGCGATAAATCATCGATTACGTACCAAACCTGTTTCTTTTTCGTCCATTCATAGAAACTTATACATGATTTCTTTGTTAATCTTTCCACCACCCCCATTAAATTTAGGCCCAATTTGTTTAAAACCAACTGATGCTAAATCCAAGGTGTTGTGTGCGTGGTGGACCAACACTGGCAGGGCTTGATTTAAGGAACTTAATTTAACTTGCACCAGGTGCATGTTGACACGCAAACCTAGTTGTACCAGAAAAGAAAACTGCTTGCACCCTGTACCATAAATTTATGGAAGTTCAAACCTGCACATTATCTTGAAGTACTCCCATTTTGACAACATCAAGCCCTGAGATGCAAGGCAAATAACACATTATAAGGGAGGTTATTGCTTTTGTATGGAAAATAAGCTCTCAAGTATTGAATGTGTTCAATTCTCAATGTATGGACATATAAGGGTTAGACACAAATTGGAAAAAAATTGATACGCATTTAGACATAAATATTAGGATGCATGTTACAATAATAGGTTGCACTGGTGCATGTTTTTTTTATAGTTGAATCAAGCCCTGAATGGTGATGCAAAGACCCTCTGTGCCACGTCGACTCATCGCTGTATTTGTATGATGCACATATTTCAGATATTTATGAAGTATTATTAGTTAATATGCATATCATACAGTTATTCTATATTTTTTTACTGTTTGAAAAGGAGACTAATCAAGAGTGACTATTAACATGAACATTGTACCCAGAGGAGTGGGGGCGAAGAGTGGCGACAGTGGATCATCTAGAATCAGTCTGGGATCTCATTCCTTGTGCATTGTTATGGACGTTATAGTTTTGTTGAAGGTTGTTCGTGATGTAAGCTATCACTGGCAAGGGAATCTCTTTTATTCTGTTTTATTTTGTCTGCGGATGTCACTGTCACTGTCCAAATATGGATTCACATGTTAATTAGGTTGACAAAAAGGTTTAAAATCCATTACTGGTAGTCGTGGAGTAATGAGTTTCACCAGAGCATTGTCCAAGTGTCACTGGTAGGTAACTACTGCATAACCGGATTCACCAGAGCATTTTCTCACAGGAGTGTGACTGATGCATAACCTGTGCTTCACCATCTTCCTGAGGCAAGGGAGTTATCTGACTGAAAAAGTCCAGTTTTCACCCTTGCCAAACTAGGCTGGAAGTTCTGGGCTTGATTCCACCATTGGCTATTACAAATTATGTCCCTTGTATGTCCCTCCTATTGACCAATCAGATTTCACCTCTGATATCACTTGCATTTGTTTCAAATGGATATCTGATCGATAATCAAGATCTATATTGTAATAAAACGGGTCTTACTTGCATCAAATGACGTAAGCACCTTGATTAAAACAAAATATTTGGAAAATATGCTTTGCAAATCCTGTAATCGACGAAAATCAGTTTACGAACCGGATGTTGTTTTCGTTAAGCGATTTTGATTGGACTATGCATAGACTTTTACAGTCAGTTAATTCCCTTGCCTCAGGAAGATGGAGCTTCACCTGAGCATCATCAGATCGTCACAGGTGTAGTCAGTGTCTCAGAACTTAAACTATGTGTACGTAATCCATCATGTGACAGCAATTACTTTGTTATCAGCATTCATCTTAACTGAATTTTACACTTGGTTGTCACCTCCACAGTTTTATTTCAAAGTCTCTAGTTGTGATTGCTTGTTTTACAGTCGGTATCTCAATCAGCATTCATTGTTTTATTTTACAAGGAAGATCTTTCCTCATATAAACCTCTGTCCCACGGACATAATATTCTGCCACATCACCTCTGTTGAAAGCCCAGGAGCCCAGGAGCCCAGGAGCCCATTCAGCAACGCAATCTTGGGGCCACAATTGTCGTAACTCCCTTACCTGGACATAGAATTACTTCTTAACTCTGAGATGGCTTTGTTGAATGGAACCCTGGTATATACATAATAGCTTCAAATTACTTTGTCAGATGCCAGCCTCATTAGAAGGTCGGCACTTATTCATGTCATCTGTGATGAAAAGGGAGGCTTTGTTTTGTTAACTGTATGGTTGTAAAATGCAATGGGAAGAAATCTTTAACGGTCTACATCACAGTGACAAATGCCTACTGTGTTAATGATACAAATTTATGCATGTATCAGTAGTGTTCTCAGTTAGGGCTGGGACGGGTCCAAATTTACTACCCGGGTACCCATTACCCTATTACCCGACCCTACCCGGGTACCCGTTCTAGATATTTAGAAATAGGTACAAACTGACCGATTTGGAAAAGTTTGACCGTAACCCTGGCAAAATGTATATAGATACATGTGTAAAACGATCCGCTCATGCATACACTGAAGTTTAATGCAAGAAGTTTTATCTTTATTCAAACATAGAATTAAGAAGGAATGGGTGCATTGTCAGAAAGAAATGGGAATATTAGTGACTTATAGTGTAACCATAGAGTTTTAGATAATTTTTGTCATTAAACAATATATATCACGTGACTAATCACGGGTCCGGGTAGTCGTGTGGGTACCCGGGTCCTACTCATGACCCACCTGACCCACCTGACCCGAGTGCCCGAGTTACCCGTCCCAGCCCTATTCTCAGTTACTACTTTCAACCTTGAAATAAAGCGGTATTGTCATGTTACTCTCCGACCCCTTTTCAGAGTCCTGGCTCTTATTTTAAAACCCATACCTGCCTCCCTTTATAAAGGCTGACTCTAACAGAGGAAATGTGCAACAATGTTTTAACTCTAGCTGACAATTAGTTGTCAGCCATTTGTTTTCAGGACTCGCCAGTCTGACAGTCATATTTTTCTCAGTCATATTTTGTTGTTTTATTTATGTATTGACAGGAGAAACAAGTTTGAGAAGATGAATATCACTTGTGTCCTAATGTTTGTGCTGATAATGTTTGATTTATTTACACTACATTCTCCACATGTGCGGATAACGGATAGATTTTGTTAACCTGAGGATGAGGTATCCTTTTGGTACAGGTATGTGTCAATTATCTTGTTTACATTTGAAAGAGGTTAATGAGAATCTCAAGACAAGATTTGAGTGATCCTATATTATAGAGACACCTGGCTAGGTAATATACAAATGTCTACACCTGTTGAGGGTATTGTTCGACCACCTCATTGATTTTTCATTACGTAAGTGTTTACTGAACTTATTTCAATATTCTTAGTTGAACAAAACCAAACCCTCCTTTGTGAGGGTTTAAGACTAAAAGTCCTTGTGAGTGGTGTGATAGGACTGTGAAGTAGATGTTATCTGATATGTCAGTAGGAATGCAAAGTAATACAGAGAATATATATTTATATTTCAAAACGTTTATCAAGAAAACTGTTTATGCACAATTTTTAGTACCTATTCACATAACAGTATTTTCAGTATGTCAAATCAAACATGATTTAAAATTAACAAGCATACACTTTGTATGCTAAATGCTAAATTTCACTCAGTCAGAAAAGCTGACTATCGGTATGATGTATAATGTTCTAGCGACAATGTGAACATTGTTCTTTAAGTTTGTTCCAATGTGTGTAACAAATGCTTAATGAAAATACTCAGTGTTTTTGCAATGAAATTGTGTTTAGTTGATGTGTTAGCAAGCTTGTCCATGTTTCATGTGATTGTCCTGCACACAGACCTCCCAGCAGAGCACACAGACGAAGTAGCTAATGCATGGAGTACAAGACATGTGGTCTCTGTCCATCTTACATGTGCAGATCCACAGCAGGCATGTGCACCCACACCCACACCCACACCCACACCCACACCCACACCCACCCACCTACCACCCCCACCCCACCCCATCCCTTCTGATACGTACTCAACATTGATGCATTCAGATGATTGCAAAAGTCCTGTACTTTCAGAATACACAAACTCACTTGATGATAGATATTCAACAAAATTACATAACAAAACACAAATTGCCAAAACTTCAAATGCTCCTTGAGCAGCTGTATCCACTCTTTGATGGTCACTGCCTAACTGGCGTGGACTGCACTGTTCAATGTTCCCTCTGGTTTTGTATACAGTAAAACCTTGTTACTCCACCTTGAAGCTGTATCCATGCCCAACTGGCGTGGACTGCACTGTTCAATGTTCTCTCTGGTTTTGCATACAGTAAAACCTTGTTACTCCACCTTCCTTGAAAATTGACAGGTGTTGGATGAA